ACGGACGGACGGACAGACAGACGGACAGGGCCAAATCGACTTAGCTTGTCGCCCTGATCAAGAATATATATACTTCACATCTGACGTTGATCTTAACACAACTGTTTTCTCTGGGGACGTGGAGTGCAAGTGCAGAATGCTGTCCTGCACAGGTAATTACATTTCGTTTGCAGTGTGAGGATCCTTGCAGATCTGTGCTTTTTGCAACTGAGCTCGGTGGACATTGCGATACAGATGCGTGTAGAACTCCACGGCCCCCGGTCTGCTGTTTAGATCACAAATGTAGGCAATGTGAGGCAGAGATGTGTGGAGGCTTAAACAAGGCTGTGAAGGGCTGTTGTGGAATTGGACTCTGCAATACGTTCTGTTGCAATTGTAATAGGGGCTGTTGGCCTGGTGATCCCTTTGATGATTTTTATGAGGCTAATGTTAATCTGCTAATGTTATTATGCGACTCTTAGAAATTGTGGAGTAAGTTGTACAAAATTGTCTCCAGAAATGAAAAGTGGGGAGACTGTTTATCTAAAAACGAGGTTATCAATCATCCAGAAAAGTTGACTTGAGATGGGTAAAACACTACTATTTGTGAGTTTCTTTTATGAGAAGTATTCCGATTTGAAGTAATATTGGCTCAAACTAATAAAAGCATCTTTGTTTCAAAAAATGAAGAAGTCAAGAAATATACCGAATTGTAGATGGGAGACGGGTCAAAATCCGGCGAAGACTTAAACAACTTGGTCTTATTTTTAATGCTGTGTTATCTTCAATTTTCGGAAAGTGGCTCGTCCTTTCTCTTTTGGTTTGCCATCTTGGCGAATTCTTGCATAAATAATCAAATCATTATATTGGAAACCAGTTGCCCATCGAATGGAACGAACGACAAGCTCAATGCGAAACATAGGGAACTGCGCTGATAGTAGAAATACAATTTATGGTCTATGTGTATTCGCATTTAAACGGTTCCGAAAACATTTAACCCATTCGAGCGAAATTATCTAATTAATTAGCATACTGATAGGATAGCCAGTGGAGCTGGTTTCTTTCAGTATTAGATCATATGTTCAATTTCCATAAAGACACGTTAAGCGTATTAATTTGTCAACTAAAACCAAAAATAAAAGCAAGTAGGAGATGTTATTTATTTCCTGTTTGCATTAGGTTTCACTTTCATGCGGATACATATATGTAGGCGGAGGCGCGCGGACAGATTTTTCACACCTTGTCGCTCAGAAACAATGGCAGCGATTCTGAGTGCCATAAATCAGCGGCAGCATCGCCATTGGGGGTACTGTGCCACAACGAATCACCACATCAACTTGTTTGGCTTCAATTACTCACGCGAATTAGCAAATGAGCAAAAGGTTCAATAAATCAACACGCAATATGGCAAGAATTTTTGATATACTACCACGGTCCGCCTTCATATAGTGGGTGTTCGATCTCGAGCACAGCTCAAAGACTGGACAGGCGACGCCCACATTAAAGCTTTCTGAAACGGTTCATTGCGAGTGTTTTGCTTGAGTATTGAAAAAAATAAAAATAAATAAATAACAACGAATTTTGCAGTTGGGCGCCACAGACTACACAGTACTCATTACCTGTCCAAAAGCAGGTTGACTGTCATTTTTCCGCTTTGCTTCGTCCCCTGAAGGAGAGTCAATAATTTATAATATTATAATTATAAGCCATTTCTTTTTGATCTCATATTGTCGGCGGGAAGTATATATATTCTCCTTGGACAGGTAGATAACGGACGAACAGCAGTACGGTCATGGCACAAAACTAATAAACTCACTTAATACCGTAAATGAGTGATATTCAAAAATCTAGTGATATTCGATGAAGCATATTTACGCTGTCGTGGCCCTCGAATTGAGCTCGTAATTGGATCTTAAGGTGGAGTTTCTCCGCCGAGCACTAAAGGTCAAGTTTACGTTTTGCTCTTAACGTTACGATAATATTTATCAATTTAAATTTCGAGCGGATGTGTATTTATAATCCTTTATTTCTATATATGGAACTACCGTTTATAGCTCAGAGAACCGAGCTTAATATCGTTCACAATAGTTGATACGAGGAAGTTCCAATTCTGCTGCTTAATGTTTTGCCTTGTCCAATTCTGTTAGAAGTCAAATGTTTCATTATGACTTGAAGAGATCGAGATCGAAATCGATTAACTTGACTTCTTTGGACTACGACATTATATTTATACATTCTAGCCTTCGAGAAACATTAATCACTAGCTTGGAAACATTTCCCCAAAAGTATATTTTGAAAAAATAATTTTCTATATAGGTATTTATTTGATGGAGCTATAAATAAATAGCTGGACATTTTACAAATACAAATCGATCTATACAGTTACAGGTATATGCACATGGAGGAATATTAGTTGGCAAACATGGCTAAGATAATGGCTTAAGTAATCGCTTAATAGATGAAGGGCGTGGCTGGTGGATCATAGTGGTATCCATCGTCGCTATGTGGCTCCACGATTTCCTGTGGTGGCAAGTAGACATTGTCCGGCTCCAGTGGCGCGGCATACGAGGGGATGGGTATCTTGTAGGTTGGCTCCACTGGGGTAGGTGGCAAGTAGCTGGTCTCTGGCTCCTGCGCTTCGTGCACCTGTGGTGCGGGCGGCAAATACTCTGGTTTGGGTGGTGCGGGTGGCAGATAGGTGGACTTGGGCTGCGCAGGTGGTAGATAGGTGGGCTTTGGCACTTCCGGCTGCTTGACGGGCAGGTAAATGGGCGCAGGTACAGGTAGCTCGAATGGAACGCTCGGCGGCTCGTAGTTATAGCCAGGATGTGCTTGCTCGTCGTGCTGCTGGTGCTCATGGTGATGGTGGTCAAGCAGGTGGGACACATCGGCGGCAACCAGCGCCACGCCGAGCAGAGCTAGCACAAGTACTTTCTAATTGCCAAATAGAGATGGACTTAGGCGAACAAATCAATGCAATAATTTTGTGTATAAAAACAAACCATTTTTATCGGATCGGTGTTCTGGGCCGGCGGTACGACGTTCTCGATGCGTTGTTAGCTCTGAAATGATTTAGTTTCCGGCAAGTGCTTCTTTATTTATACAATGAACGAGAACCGCGCTAGCAATAGAGCAGTCGACGTCTCCATCTCCCTCTCTCACTCCGTCTCTGCCTTGGTGTTGCTCAGTGCCTCGGCCTGACGATGCGTTGATCGCTGTCAGCAGCGAACCTAAACGTCGGCTCAGCGCCCCCCCTTTAACGGCATTCGCATATAAATTCTATTAATTCTCTTTTAATTTCCAATCGCCTTATGTGCCGGGCTTTGTTGTCGCTTTGCATGAAGCGGACATTAAATCTGCACTTAATTATAAGCCTGAGGAATGGATGCGGACATGTGTACTAACTAAAGCGTTACACATCCAAATACCCTCACATTGGGGCATTTCCACAGAACTGTATGACAGTTCGAAGAAACAAAAGAAATCAACACTAATGATAAGTAAATAATATCAATGACAACAAGGGTGAGTGTAAAATTATATCTAATAAGTATGTATTTAAATAAATAAATATTTTTTGTATTTAACTGAAATTATTTTTGAATGAATATACAATTTTTCATATAATGTTTTTGTCAAATATCTTTTAATATTTTATGGTTTATTTATTTATTTATTTTTCTCAGTTTTTATGAAATTTTGTATTTTTTTAATATGTTATTTATTTAAATATGTTTATTTATATCATGTTTTTTTTTTTTTTTTTTTTTTTTTTTTTTTTTTTTTTTTTTTTTTTTTTT